TTTTGTTTTATGAATAAGCTATTCCCACTGTCTTGTTACCAAACCTTATAAATCTGGAAGAGATTATAGCTCAAAGTTGTGAGAAAATGGAGGAGATAATAGCAAGAGATAATGAAAGGATTATGGTTGAAGAATTCAATCTCCCAAAGTTAAAGTTAATTACGAGTACGGGATTGTCCGGAAATGAAAAACATTTATAGTGCAAAATTGATTTGCAATTCTCTAAAAGTAATTAGACTATGGAATTGTCCGAGCTAAAGAGGATGTCGATTTTTCTTCAATTGCTTGAAAATGGCCAACCATCTCCTCCCCTTTCTCTTAAACGGGGCTAATGCATTAGGGCTACATGGAAAAAGGAAAAAAATAAGAAGAAAATAGTTCTCTCTACCCCAGACACATGTGACCTCTCCCCTCTCTTTTAAGGTTATCACAAAATATTCCCGAATAGATTTTTAAAGTAAAAATACTAAGCTAGTATAAAAAGGTGAAACTAACACTCTATTGATTTTGAGAGCTTCTTGTGTGGGTGCTTGGATCGTGTGAATTATTCATAGAGGTCGGATGCTTGGATGACTCCTTTTTTATGAAGGTTTAATTCCGCGCTACAAGAGATAATCCTTTATTTGTACTTTAATTCATGTATATGTATGATTAGTTAATTCAACGACATGATCTTAAGAACTTTAGATGAAGAAATTTTTTTACTTTATTTCGTAACTCCATAGAATGCATGATCATTCACCTTCTCTAACAAATTGATCAATCGAGTAACATCTTCTTGTCACCTTCTCTAACAAACCGGTCAATCGAGTAACACTTCTTTTCACCTTCTCGAACAAACCGGTCAATCGAGTAACATCTTTTTTTATGGATTCAAGCTCTTATTGATAAGCTCGTTCTAATCGTGTTTTTTATTTGTTCTCCATTTGGCAAGTCTTAAGTCGGGTATGATGGGTATATATGGGAGTCATGTTTTAACGGGGAAATTTATATTTTAATTCTTAAAAAACTAGCAAAAATAAAGATATATACAATGAATATAATGTATACCTGCATGGTTTAAACTAGCTTGGATACCTTTATTTTTTGTTACAAATTAAATCATGATAGGGTTCATTCCAAGGATACATCGGATCAAGCTTAATACTCGCTAAGGGCAAAAGTAAACCTTACGGATACTTAGGCAATTTGAAAGACATATTTACCCTCTATTGTGGTCATAATATAAACATTGTCTTATGATATCTTGAAGAGATTGAAGCCATGGTAGATAAGTATCGAAGAAGTTTGAAATTTGAACATTTAACACATTTTATGTGAGTATTCGGATGATGTATTATATAAACTTGATTTGCGATCTATTCTCGAATAGCATCTTTAAATTCTTTAAGGTTAGTCTTTTCAATCACGAGCTCATTAATCTCTACTTCGAGTCCCATCTTTTCATCATTAAGATTAGCCAATTCTTCGGTTAGGGATGTTGTAATATCAATTGCACTTTCATATTTTATGTTCAATGACCGATGATCTACTTGTAATTGTTTCGAACTCCCTTTGCTTAATAGAGTTGACCACGAAGCTCTTTGTTTTCTATCTCTAAGGCACTTATTGCATGATCCTTAATATTGAGACTTTCTTCATCTTTCTCTTCTTTTTTATTAATTCTATCACCATAGAGTTTAGACTTTCATGGTAAAGCTCATGTTGGGCATTTATCTCTTCGTTGGACATCCTCCATCGTCTCATTTATTAATCGAGATAGACCTTCAAATGGCGATACACAATATCATTTACCTCGAGTGTGTTGTCGTTTTAGGTAACTAGGTAAAGTCTTCCTATTCAATATTTTTTCGTGGGTGATAACCCTTTTGTGCTTCTAGATAGTCTTCACTTCTCCTAAATGTTTCCTAGAACCTTTTAGGTTTTTATGATACTCGACTAACTAGTTATTTTTGAAATAAATTGCTCAAGTCCTAATTATCTTAAGAACATGCTTGGGTAGTAATCGATGTAGCATCGAGTTACGGTTAGTGGCAATCGGGAGAAGTTAACACGATAACCTAGATAAGATCAAAAGAATATATATTGCGCCCTACTAGTGAATTTTAACTTCTCTATACCGAAGACCATTCCTATCCATATGATTTTATCTAACTGAAAAAGGGAGTGATTAGCAAAATTTTCCAATTTAGAGTATAATCACCATGATGCATGAAAAATTCTTACGAACTTCCCCGTCGATACATGGCTAATAGTTTATATAAATAAAATTTAGACATAATATCTTATATGCCTATCCCTTTTTCTCTAATAGAAATTTAGTGATGAGAGTGTTCCTATTAGGATCGTAACTATGAGGTTGACCTTGAGGGATACAACATTATTGAATACATTGACTACTTTAAAGTCGATTATGGTTTCGACCAATGGCAATAACACCAATACATATAAGGTTAGTGCTAAGATTCTGAGTTTGATGCTATTATTATGGTCTTGTATGTGCTTTGTAAACCGTATTTTGGATCTCAATGCCCTATCATAGCTTGAAAGCATGAAATCTCGGTCTTTATCTTAAGCAATTGGGCCATGTCATTGTATGCTTTCGAAAGTCAAATCTATCTTTAGGAGTATGCATCTCTCAATAATTAAGTAATGGGCCCACATTGGTCATCTTATCAGCAAGTCCGACCCTTTTCGATAGTTTTGACACATAGCCGAGGGCGGATAGTCTTTTTCCTTAACTTGTGCTCTTTTTGATTTAACCCTAAAATATCTAACTTCATTTCCAGTTTTCTCGTCATGATTTATGTGAGTGATAGTCTACAAAAATCAAGGGTTAGAATATACATCATTTGAAAATAGTTTCTATCTTAATAGGGCAACCTTAGTGGATATAATCTAGCTTTTTTATGGTTTAGACAAAGTCGGTCTAGTCTTGAAGTCATTTCAAGTTTTTAAACTATCCGAATTACTAGTTGGATAATGTAGCCTCTAACCTTATATACACCAAGAGGTAAGGGAAGGTTATTCCATCATTTCTTATACATAGGGTGAGTTCCAATCCAAATGAGAGTTCGAAAGAACATCGGTAGACTTTTGTCATACTTGTCTTCAAATCTCTTTATCTAAATATTAATAGGGTTTTAGTTTGGGTCTACATTTTTGGCAAGTTTTCTTGTAGTGAGTGCAATAGTTCAAAGTAAATATCCAACCCAATTCAAGATTAACTATATACAAAAATTTAAAAAAAATATTACAAAAGTTAAAAGATTCAAAATAATACAAGAAATAAAATGAATGACTTAAATAAATAAATGACTTAGAAAATAAAATGGCAAAAATAAATAAAAGAGATGAATTAATCAAGGATTAAACCTATAAGCTAACTCTAAAACTCCTAATAAAGTCATCGTTCTATCGCTACCTTACTTTCGAAGGACTCTCGAAAATAATTAAAATTATTTTAATTATGATATTTATAATTTATTCCAAGGATATGAATAATTATTGATTTGAAAGTCACCACCTAGTATTATAGGAACCATGAACCTAAAAATAACACTTGGTTAAAAGATTCTAGGGTAAGAAATTTGTTATGCTTATGAAAAGATATCAATCACCTAAAAGTGGCCTTTCCTAAAAAAGATACCATGCCTATCTTGGTCTTAAAATTTATCTCCCGAGATGTTTTATTTGTGCCAAATTATTTTTGATTTGAACTTCAAGTTTTTTTGTTTCTTTGGCCGAATTAAGTTTTTTTTTTTTTGTGGTATCATATTGAACCAATCATCGGACCCCTTCATTGAGAGATACGTCGACTTAATATTGGATCTACTTTAAGTCTCAACATAATTGGTATGTCCGAGAACATCTTATTTAATAAAGTGATTTTTTGGCTAAAAACAATCCCTATTGGATATGAGACGTTGTTAATTTTTCTTAGCATTTTCTATTTTTTATTTTTCCTTGCATTTTCTCTCTTTATTTTTTGTATTTTTCCTAGTATGTATTTTTATTTTTCATTTTTCTTTCTTTTTTTTTTTTTTTTGTTATTATTGGTGGAGAATCATCATCAGTCCATAAAAATTAGGGGACTTGATAATCCATCAACCTATTAATTACTTAACTTAATTATTGAAATAAATTCTAAAAATTAAACTTTAACTAAATAAATTCAAGAAAACTCGAAACATTAAATGTAAATTAAGCGAGGAACTAAAAAAGTATAAATAAAAGAATTTAAGGTCAATTAATCTATATAAAAAAAAATGAAATTAAAGCATTAGGACTCATAGCCCATTGGCCAAGCCCATCTGGGCTAGCTCGCTAGAGCGAGCCATTCTCTTTCTCTCTTTTTTTTCGTGGGCCTTAGCTCGACCTGCTTTTTAGTGGGTTAGGCTTGGCCTAACTCACCATTTTTTTTTCTTTCCCAAGCTTAGACCCAATCCACCATTAGATTTTTTCTTTCTTTCCTAACTCTATTTCGATCAAAACCTTAACTCTCCTGTCTCTCACTCTCTTGGTCTCGTTCTTCTTCCATATCCTTTATCTCTCCATCTCTAAAAGCCAATCTCTTACCTTTACCATAATCCGAACCCATATCTTTTTCTTTTTTCTCACTCAAATGATCTCTCATTTTCCCTCTTGAGATTGAATTCCTAGTTTAGTTATTCTTCCATTACTAACATGAAATCTAGTTCTAAATATCAACCCTCTTTCATCTTTCATCTTAGATTCTTTTAATTGACTCAATAAAAAACAAAACAAAAGATGAAAGTAAAAGAGAATGGGAGTAATTATATGTATTACATGATGACGAGTGATGAAGTCATTATCATCGTTTGTTCTTAGAAAAATCAATAGTAAGATCGAGGCAATTGGAAACGAAATCATGAAGGAAATAAAGTGCTTACCTTGATGATCTATGAATGAAGCTAAATTTGAAAGTAAACAGTTTGTGGTAGATTACAACCCTTTGATTAGTGAGGATTGCTTTGAAATCACACTAGCAATCCGAGTAATGCCTCATGAAAAGGAAACCCACAACAGGAAACCCGGAAGAATCCCCCTAAACCCAAAAATTTCTCCTTTTCATAAACCTATAACTTCTTCTCAAACCCCGAATTCACCTTCTTCTCCTAAAACCCAAAAAACAAAAACAAGAAGAAAAAAGCTCGAGACCCCAATAACCTAATTTCTTCTTACAATTTTCCCTCTAAAAATCCTCCTTTGAATTTCCTCCCCTCTTTTTATTTTTGCTATCCATAGTTTAAACCCTTATTTATAGGCAACTATTGCCATACCTAAAGATCCTCCATAAGTTTTGGATTATTTGCTTCTAACGCCAAAAACCCAACACTCGGGTTTTTGCATTTTATGAACAAAACAAACCAAATCAAGATTAGTGTAAAAATGCTTCATTATTGATCGACATCTAATTTGGAAACGTTATATGAGTTATTGAGTTCATGATTGAGTGTAGCCACCTCAATGCTTTCTTTCTCGATATTCACTTTAGCATTTTCCTTATTATCTCGCTTCCCGAGACAACTATCCATTGGCAAGGAGTAAAAAAAATTTTGCTTCACTAAATCATTTCAAAAGAAATTTCTTGGAAAATTGACATATATTTCTTTAATGGTAACACGTTGATCCATTCACCATAATTTACGTACAAATCTAGATCACCTTCATCGTCACTTTCATACTTACAGTCTTTTGTTTTATGACCAATATGACCATATATAGAGCAAAAAGTGGGGAGTCTTTCATGTATGAAAATGACTTGGCATAGTTAATTAGGCCTCGTTTAAGTTTTAAGATTCCACTTCAATAAATTGTTAGATTCAATTGGACCTTGATTCTCATGAATTTATCCATACAAAGATCTTCATCCCGACACTATATATAAAAAAATACATCTAGCGATGGTTTTTAAATCGATCTCTAAAACCATGAATTAGCAATAATTTTTCAGCAATCTTTAACTAATTTTTTGTCGGATGTTAGTTTTTAACGACGGTTTAAAAACTATCATAGATTCAATTTAAATAGATATTTTTAGTCTGTAGTTTTAACTAAAATGTCGCTAAAAATCTTTATGTTTTGGGATTTAGCGAGGGTTTTAACTAAACCATCACTAATTCTAAAAAAAATGAGGTTTTTAGTGATGGTGTTTTGAAAACCATTGCTAAAAACCCCTATTTAGAGTGAATTTAGTGATAGTTTGTAACCAACCATTGCTAAAATCCTTAAGCTAACTACCCTAAAAATATAAGGTTTTAGTGAGGGTTTTTTTTTTGTTGAAAATTGTCAATACATCGATATTAGCAATAGTTTTCAAAAGCTGTCGCTAGTTTTTTTACCTTGGGGAAAACAAAAATTTTGAAAAAAAAAAGTTTTAGCAATGCTTCAAATCATTATTAAAAATTAAAATCATTAAGTAGCTACTGCTCGAAATTTTTTTCCATTTTTTCATTTTTTTTCCTTTTCTCTTTTTCCAACAACTCCATCTTCCCCATTTCCCATCCATCCATGGTAGCAACTCGCTCCAAACTCCTCTTGTCTCTTTTTTCTTCTCTCGTCCATCTCTTTCCTTTTCCTCTATTTTTTTCTTCTTTCTCTCCTACCTTTCTCCTCCTCCCTTCCCTCCTCTTCTTCATGAATGGTGTAATAGGAGTAGCTCTTTCTAGGTCGGGGTTGATTGGTCCGGATGCTTGATCACATTCAACGTTTCCATACTTAGATCCTAGTTACTAACCAGCACTTGGTCCTTGAACAAGTTGTTCTCTTGCGATAGTAATGGAATTTCATATTTTTTCTCCACAAGGGCCCAATCTCCTTATAACCAAGTGAGTGCAATGCCCTTGTTATGATTCCGATAAAGTCAATTCTTTTAATGACTCATTTTAAGCGAACTATCTCCACAACCGAGCCATTACCCAAAAGAGAAAGCTATAGATGAGTTTTCCAAGATGCTTTTCCTCTCTCCCAAAGCCCACGAGTGATCTACATGTGAAGAAAAATGAACCAATATTGAGAAGAATTGTATCATTTTAATTTTTGCAATAACATTGACGATGTTGCCAATAAAGACTCGGATTAGAAAATTAATAAGGCATTAATATTTAATAGCATTCATAATTAGCGATAGCATTTGAGAAAAAATAATAAAAAACTAATAGTGATTTTAAAAATCGTCGCTAAATATGATGGAAACTTTGATCATTTTTAACGATAGTTTATAAAAACCATCGTTAAACTATCACTAATTAGCGATGGTTGTGCAAAACCATTTTTAAATTTGTGACCTTCTAGACAATGTTAAGCGACAGCTTTATGGTTGTTTAACGACGGATTAACCATCGGTAAATTAGCGATAGTTTACAATAAATTGTCATAAAATATTTAAAAATAATGTTTTTTTTTACTATTTTAAACTATCACAAACCCATCGCTAATTATTATTAGTGATGATTTTTTTTATTTAGCGACTCGTTTAAATTGTTGCTAAATGTGTTTTTCCGATAGTGTCATCCAATGCCATGAATGAACGTATCTAATCCCCAATTTGTTGTGCAACTAAACAAGTTATAAACCCTCATCCAAAAAGGTGAAACTGTAATTCTAGATCTTTTGGTCGCTCGAGATTGTGAATCTCTCTTATCATTAGTATGGATTCACCGAAATGCCATGGTTCTCCATCTATGATTCTCTCGGTTATCTCTAGCATGTTTAAACTAGAACAGAAATAGATTTCCCTAATTTTGATCACTTGCATTCCATGTTGAGCATTCCATGATAAAGTCGAGCTTGCAATAAAGCCCGCATTAACTCATGATTTTCCTCTCCACAACTTCCCTACGAAAGGTAAAGTTGCTTTTAATTTTCATTAGTCTTCTCATCAAAATTCTAAATTACCAACTCCTTTTCATCATCTAAGATCACCTATATCTTTCCTTGATGCGGAATGCATCTTGTGAACGTAAATAACATGATGTAACTAGAACTACTCGAAAAATTAGGTCATAAACTCTTAAAATGAGGCATGAAAGACCTAAAAATAAAAAAATAAAAATCCCTCACAATTAAAGAAAACTATAAAATCCTAAAAGAAGACTATGAGAGAAAATTAGACTCTAAAAAGAGAGATAAAGGTAGCTTTTTAGTAATTTTTATATTATTCAACGAATCAAAATTGTTTTTCCTTAATTAACTTATAATGTTTGCTTTTCTTTATTTTTATTATAAAGTTTCCATCCAAAAGACTTAATTTTTATGATAGATGATTCCTTTTTAACTTTATATATTATTCATTTTTTGTTGGGATAATTACCATAAAAATCCTCTAAAAAAAATCTTCTATCTAAAAACCTTTCAAATTTATTTTAAAATCTCTCAAACCTAATAACTTTCAACTTAACACTAATTAACTATTCAGTGTTTTGGTAAGATAACCTTTTTTGAGGTTCTTTGATTGCTAGAACACCGACCTTTGACTATTATTATTATTATCATTATTTTTGTGTAGTACCCTGGGAAATTTATTCAATAAAAAATGAGAAAACAAGAGGGACAATCCAGCCTAGCCCACTAAATGAGAGGACAAGGAAGCCTAGACTCCAAAATAGTTAACATAGAAAGTTCCTAAAAACCCGAAAAGCTAAAAAATGACTAATTTACATTGCTCTGTATTAATTCACTAGAAGATAAATTTTGAGAAGCCTTCACATAAAAAACATGTATAAACAGTAACTAAATAGTCTCATGCATGGCTTTGTTAAATCTTCCTTTAGCATTCTTTGTATCTCTCCCAACTACCCAACCTTCACTCTCACTATCGAAATCTCAGCATCCCCCATCTGTCTTCCCTTAACGCAACTCTTACAGTTGTTAAAGTTGCAGATTCTTCTCCATACACTAATTGTCTTCAGTGGGAGTATGCTTGGCTTGCCAAGCTGTCTGCTACCCCATTCCCCTCCTTAAAAATATGCGTGATCTTCCATTCCCCTAGCAGCAACCTGCATCCACGAGTAGCATAAGTGAACCTATCACCAGTTATAGAATCCATCAGAATTTTCGAGTCTATTTCCACAATATCGACCTGAATATTCCTATCTCTGCATAACTTCAAACCCTCCATCAATGCCAACACTTCACCCTTTAGGCTAGACCCTGCTCCATATAATGATGAAAAACCCAGCAACAACTTCCCTCGCCAATCCCTCACCACACTGCCTCCTACACATACTCCACCTCGATTTGTAGGTGTGAGTTGGCAGGGGGATCCATGCAATCCATTTTCCTGTTAATAATGCAGGAGCAATCAGCGAGATACCTAGAGCTTGTATTTCTGGTCATGGAAGTTTAATTTGGTTTTTGGTAAAAAAAATTTTGACTATTATTTTTTTATTATACTAAAAAAATTCATATGTAGAAGTTTTTTTTTTATTGACTTTTTTTTTAGCAACTACAAAGATTACTTTTACTATCTAGTAATTATAGTAAGCGATGTAATTTAATTAATTAATGTTAATGAAATGAAACTCATGTTAATCTCTTGTAATTCAATCCAAGAGTTACTATATAAATAAGAAAAGTAAGGATATGTATGATTATGAATATTAGTGATCTCCTAAATCTTAATATTTTAATAGGAAAAAAGGCACCATCGATAGTACTAGTTTTTCATTAATCAACACTCAATTTTTTTATCAAGTAATTATATTAAATTACATGATGAATGTATAACATATTTTGGTGCATTAATTAAATAGAACATAGTCATCCATAATAGAAATACATAATTTAAAAGACAATAGCTTCATTTAAGCTAGGGTAAAAAAAAAAAAAAAACTACGAAAAAAATCTTTTATCTAAAAAATACAACAATTTATTTTTTAATTCTCTCAAACACAAAACAATATTTTTTTCATAATTACCAGAATACTTTTTTAAATCTCACAAGTTCAAAACAATATTTTTCTTATCGAACACTCAATAGTTAACATTAGTGTTAAAGATCGCATAGTTAACACTAATGTTAACTATTGAGTTTTTTGTAAGAAAAATATTGTTTTGGATATGAAAAAATTAAAAATAAATAGTTGAGTTTTTTAGATATAAGATTTTTTTAGAAGGCTTTTCTAGTAATTATTCGTTTTTTGTTAAATTATTCAATATAAATTGTGTTTTCTAACACTTTTTCTCATTTGCGAGTCCATCTTTTGAAATCTGTCATGTGGTTTAGACTCCAATATTTTTGTTGGGCCAATCTTTTGGGGCTTTCAAGTGGCTTGATCTCTAAGATCTTTGCTAGACTATTGGACCTCCTTGATATCATATAAAGTGAGATAGTTGAAATTAGATTTCGTCCAAAAGATTTAAGCATTATAGTAAGTGACTTCTTTTTAACTTTATATTTTATTTATCTTTTTTTAACTATTCAATGTAAAATATGTTCTTTAACAACTTATAACTCATATTCGGTGACTTAATTGAAATGATTCAAATTTCATATTAAACAATATTGAATTACGGACAAGTAAGTTTAATTTAACGATTGTATTCGGTTAGGTTTTTTAATAAAATAAAATTTAAGTTTTAGTAATTCCAAGTTTCTCTAATGATTATGTAATAGAAAATTACTACTTCTCTTTATGTAGTCCGAAGGTTCATGAGTTTTCAATGAATAAAAAAAATACAACATTGAATTACGAATAAAAAATTTACATAATTATAAAAATAAATTAATTAATGGTATCAATCCACTTGGGTCCTCACGAATCCTCACAATGTTAGAAAAAATATCCTAATTTAAAATCTTTGCTTTTTAAGTATATCCTCAAATTTTACTCGTGACTTACTTTTTAAATTTTCTAAACCCCTTCTTCCCTTTCCATCTCCTTTTTTTTTCTTTTTTTTTCTTTTTTTTTTTTTTTTTCCAAAATGAATAGCCTCGTAAAGGATCATCCTAAATATTTTTATACTCTGAGTTAACGAAGAAATTTATATCAAGCTCGAGGTCCTTTAAAACTAGACCGCTGAATCATTGGCAAGTTAACGAAGAAATTTATATCAAGCTTCTGTACTTTTGAAGCCAACTCGATGGCAGCAGTTACCGATTAGTCACAAGTCAAGCACTTATGAGATATCAGTGGCTATCCGTGATCAAACTGCCCCATATTCAAGACTTTATCATTGTGGTATATATTTGGGGAACATCATTTTAGTCCATACCATTTTCCATTAGGTCGGAGACCAATAAACTCTGTCAATTTGTTCCTAAAAGTTGGAGACAATTCTCAACTGTATCCTTCCATTAATGCTCGTTAAATGGACCTCCAATTTTTCTTCAGATCGACATCATTTATTGCATAAAATATACACATTAATTGGTAACCATTAACAAAGATTGACTAAAGGACCATGTTAAAAATGGACATGGGTGAAACATTCATAAGCTAATTGAAATATTTATAGTTTTATGATCCAATTAAGAATGAGCATATGGATAAAATAAGAAATTATTACACGGACTTTGTCTATCACATAAGATCATAGACCAAACCAATTGAATTTATCTACATTTTTTTGGTGACGGATGTGTTATTAACTATTTTATTCCATAATTATGAATATGCTATTAAATATGAAAATATTACCTTCTAAATTTGATTTACTAAATAAATCATTTGAAAATTTTAATAATGTAAAATAATACTATTGGTTTGGTTCCTGATTCTAGGTAATGGACTAAATTCATGCAATAATTTCTTGGAAGTTTTTCCCATATGTTTCTTACCTTGAGCATCCATTCAGTAAACACACTCACCTAGGATTGCGGGTAAGCACTGAAAGTTGGGAGGAAAGAACTCTGTTCAATGGCAGACCAAAGGGGCAAACCAGATAATCTAATTTGCGAAGTGCTCTAAACCCTTTTTTTTTATTTCTAATCTAAATTCCCTGAATAATATGCGAGTAATCTACGAAGCTGAAGCTCTGATTTCTCTTTTTCCTTTTTTGGCGTATGCTCGTGTTTTTGACAAAATTGTTACTCTTATATGCTTAACAAAATGAGAAATTACAAGTTAGAAATTAAAAATACTTGTAAAGGAGGCATACAGTCAAGCTTCACTTCATGTCCTTTTGTAGCTTTGTGGTCGCCTACCTTTCTTTTTCGTTTTCTAAATTTATTTATCCAGTTTTGCACCTTTACAGCTTTATATAAAGCTCCGATGAGTGGAGAGCCAAGGTTTATGCTGCTACTAAAAACGTGGCTCATGGGCTCACTAAAAACGTGGCTCATGGGCTCACCGATAACGCAGATTTGTATACTCATTGACCCAAGCTCAGCAACACTCACGCCCTAAGGCCCTGGACTCTTCTCCTACAAGGGCAAATACTTTCCACGAACGACACAATTTCCAACAAAATAGTTCTACGGAAGATATATGGTAGGGTGGCCCCAATTGCAGAAGGCAATGTTAGTCCTACCAAAGGATGCTCGATCTCAAAAGCTTCACAAACTTGAATCACGCATCGGAACTAGAAGAAAGAAAGCTTAAACGTCGTCGACAGTCATCTAATTTGGGAGAAAGGTCATCATGCTTTGGCCGCTAGAAGCAACTTGTTCAAAAGGTGGAACCATCAAGGATCAAAACCACATGCCCAATTTCCAGTTCGGACCCTGAAACTCTAGAGCATCTAGTCTTAAATCATTGCGCTAAGGACTAAACGGAATGTGAACTTCATCATTCCGGAATTTGTTGTGTATCTAAGGTCATGCCTAAGGTAAACAGGTCCATAACTTCAACTATGTTGGGTGGAGACTCGCATTGAGTGAGACGGGAAGCATTAGCAAACGAGCCAGAAAAAAGGATTAGAAGCAGTTGATAGAATGCAAAACAAAAATTCGAATGTTCAATTGTCATCATGCATGCTTCGTTTGGAATCCTATATATACAATCAGATACGAATACATACCAAATTATTAAAGCATTGAACAAGAACAAAGAAAGACAATCTAGCATGCTGCTTCGTTTTGGAATCCTATATAGGCAATAGATGAGCCTGTCCACCACTATAGACAAATGATATCCAAATAGTGCAATGAGATTGAACATAAGTGTAAAGAAAAGAAAAGAAAAGTGACTTTGCCTCTGCGATGCCAAATCCTCTATTCTTTGGACAATGAAAACCTTACATTTCCACCCGCATTATCGGAACCTCTACTCTAGGAACCTGCCCTGCCCTGCATACTTAAATTCTGTCAATGGGTTCTGTCCGGCCTTGCACAGCCAAACGCTCTGAAACATCAGCTAGTGACTTCAGGTTGCACTTGATCAGGGCCTCAACAAAATAACATGTTTCATCCTTGGTATTTCCATCAGGCACATCCACCACAAATGACTCAATCACCAATGTACCCGGTCGGCCATCAATGACCTCTGGATGAACAGTAACAATTGACGAATAGTTCTGTTAAATAGAGAAACAATAAGAAGAGTGAACCATTTTAGCTTGCAGAAATATTATATGGCAGTAGATGTGAAAATAATCAAGGTGTGGGCATATTTAGCCCCCACCCCACCCAAAGAAAGAAAACAAATTGTTAGTTTGGAATGAGAAGATAAAAAGCCAACTAGTTGTGCAAGTCATAGAAATAAATCCAGCAACCTCAAATGTGAATTCTAAAAATGAAAATGGTAAAAAATTCTAACTAATTATCATAAGAGTCTGTTATATTGCAAGCTATTAAGCAAGACTTAACAAAGCAGTTGTACTCATTTGTTGTCTCCTGAGAATAAAATCTTGCGGCGACAATAAATCAGCGAACGAACTAACATGAATCATACAAATTGAATAACCTGATTTCTAAAAATGATCAATGACTTTCGATCTATTGCATTGTGTATAATCTTGTTTATAAGTCATTACTTTTCAGAAGCTTTTGAATTTTCATTTAGCAACATCTACCCTGAAATTTGAACTAAGATCCCCAATGGCACAATAAAATTCGATTCTAACTTCATGTTGCTTAACCCAAAAATTACTCAACGAAATATACCCAGCCAGATTGTGATACAACTTTAACATTTTATTTTTTGTAACGTGGCAAATCAATATAGAACATAGCACTAGATTTCGGAGGGAAACTCCATAAGCATCTACAAAGACAAAAGACCATATGATTACTTTTTTAGCAAAACTGCATTAAAATCAAGGTAGACCAACCATATAAACCACATAAGCAATCTTTATGCAATGCCATCCACATCATACAATCAGTCTAATCTTATCAGATTCACCTGAGATTCAGCACCCACCAACAAACACATGATTACATCAATTAGCAAAACTTTCAAGACTCAAAATGACTTCACCAAACACAATCCAACTCATGCTTGTGCAAGACAGTTTAACGAACAAAGAAAAATGCACCTTAAGTCTATGATCTCCACCAACAATCTTCATACTAAAAATATGCTCCTCATCATCTAATAGCTCCAAACGTTCAGTACTAGTTGTAGCTGGAAGTCCAGACTTAACATTCACCTCTCTGACACTTCCAATCTGAAGATCACCCTGCACAATGCACCTGCTAATGAATGGCTTATACTTTTGTGGTTGATCAAATCTCCTCACCAAAGACCACACCTGATCAAGCAAACACCATCAATCACCCACACAAGCATAAAATAGCATCAGAATCAAATCATTTACATCTCCTCCATAGGAATCAAATCATTCAAGCCATAACATAAGAAGCGGCAATGCCATTTCCACCCACCATTACACAAATTTTAAATTTTAAAATGGACGCACACAAAAAATAAGCAAATATTCTTCTTAGCTTCAGCTTCTGAACAAATTCATTAAAAGGCCACAATTTTTGCGTAGTTTTAGCACAAATTGATCGAAACGCAAAAATTTATACGAACTTTCAACCTTTAATGTAAGTAATAATGCGGACAAGTGACCTCATTATAATGAATCCAAAAACTGAACCAATTTCAACCATAGCTTCAAATATGCATCAATTTATCGCTTCAAAAAAAAAAATCTATAAAATTATTATTATTATTTAAAAAAAAGACCATTATCTTGACACTAAAACTAAAATCAAAACACGACACAACCATAAATAAATCCAATCAACAATTAAGAAAAAAGAAAAAGAAAACCTTTAATGCTCTCAGATCTGAAAAAACTAAACATTAACTTTAATCATTAAAAAACCAGAAAAGAAGAGACAAAGAGAGAGGCGTTGGTGCTTACAAGAGGAACAGGAGCTTTGATGTGTTTAACAAGAGAAGAACTACACTGATGTTCTTTCACATCATGTTTATGATGTCTTCTTATAAAATCATCTTCCATCTTTCCATTCCCAATCGTCACATAATCATTTGTCACCATCTTTAAAGGTTAAAAGATCGCTGCAACCGCAGCCGCAGCCTCCGTCGCCGCCGGTGGTAGTGGTAGTTTCAGTAGAAGAAGAAAAGGGCAAAACGCACCGCCATTGGCAGCTCCTCCAATAGCGAAAGGTCCAGAGCTTCTTCTCATCTCATCGTTTACTACTAGTTGATTATTATTATTTATTGTTATTTTAAAAACTAAATAAATAATAATTAGGCAAGTTGCCTATTTTTTAGTGTTGTTTTTCTTTATTCGTACTTTCTCTGGTGTTGGTCGTGATGGAGACAAATAATCGGCGAATACATTTTAGTCTCTCTATTTTGAAGATATAACATTTTAGTCTTTATTATATATATTGTTCTTTTATTTGACGATCAAGTGATATTTTTATATTTATATTCGTGTATCGACATAACTTTTTCTTTTTATTTAAAAAATAGATTGTTCATGTGGAGTTTAAAAATTATTATTTTTCCTAGTTGATCTTGCAGCTACCCTTGACTAATAAAGATGGAAAACATACTGATCTTTGCAATTTAGCCGAAGCTTTTAGAATTTAGAGTTTTTACTCAACTAGTTTTGGTGAGGATAAGCATAATCTACTTCAAAGTTTGGAAAGTCAAAAATAGAGGACTGGATAAAATCAAGAATTTCAGATCCCAATCGTTGCAACTTGCAGGCTTTTATTCTCAAGAATATTCCTGTGAAAGCTTTGCTAAAAAGCAAACATTTTTTCCTTTTTCCATATTTTTGTCAAGGATTCTTTGTTGTGGGAAAAATATTTTGTGCATTTATATATATTAGTGTTTGTTTATGTAAAATATTTTATGAAAAAATCGATCATCCTAAAATATTTTAAAATTTATCTCCAAAATTAGTTTATTTGTTAAAAAATATTTTTAGTTAACAAAATTTTATAAAATATATTACAACATTAGTAACATCGTCTAATTATTTTAATTATTACTACTGCCACTGCTATTACTCTACAACCTCCCACTCCTATCCCTACTTTCATTGCCATCATAATTTTTACATCATTAACAACAAAACCTAAAAGATATAGAATGTTTACTATTCAAATCATTATTTACTTACACTTATGCTAACTATTTATTTGACATTGTTATAATTTTTTGTAAGTATACATTTGTGATGGTATTGTTGTAATTTTGGCCTTTTGTTCATGTGATGATATTATTGTGATTTTTAGTTTTTTTTTTATGCATTTTGTAAGATATTGTTGTGATTATTAGTTTTCTTCATGCATTTGATATTAAATTTTAACAAATATTGCATTTTGATTTCTGATTTTTTTCTAAAACTTTTTTTTTAATTTTCAACTTTATTTATATTATGTTTGGTCTGTAAATGTAGAAAGATAAAAAGAGGTGAAGCTTAGTTCGCCACTTTGACTATCGATTATGGTTTTGATTTGTTCTCTTTGGAGAGCAGATTTTATTTATGATGGTCCTAAGCTATAAAAAGGTAAAGGGAAAGAGATCGATACCCTAAAATTTCTAATTTATTTTTTTATTTGATTTGGATTTTTTAGCAAGAATAATTTTTTTTTAGTTTTTAAGTGATAATTAAAACTAAGATGTGAAAAAACAAATTGATTGTTATATGTGTGAAGCCTATGCACGATGACCGAACCTATATGACTTAAAAACAAAAATATCTATTAAGAAGGAAAAAAAACAACACTCTATGTAGCATTTACTTTTTTTTTAATGAATATTTTGAAATCAATTCCTCTCAAATAAAATAATTAAAATTATTTTTAAAAGAAACATGATGATACCATATTTCTCAAATAAATTTTTTTATACTAATATTATTTATAATTTTAGGAGTGTATATATATACTTTTCAAAAATTAATTTTCTCATCAATATTATAAAATTTTAGTTTAAATTTTAAATTTTTAATGAAAATGTTTTAAAATTAATTGTTGCTTTATTTTTTCAATGCAATCTTATAAAATAAATAATTAAATGTACACATATCTTTTTTAGGATTTTTGATTAATTGAAACTTGTATTTCGATTACTATAAAGTTTTATTTAAGAATCCATGCATTGAAAACAAATCATGCTTTTTAAGAAGAAACTCTATTATAAAAACATAAAAAAGAATTAATTAAGTGCAAAAATTTAATTAAAAAATCTTAAGGTTAGGTGAAATTTTTTTTTTTTTTTGATCTTTGGTTTTGATATATTTTAATAGACGTATAGTGTGGTGAGGACCATCAAATAATAATAATTTTTTAAAATAATTTCACATATTTTGCTCAATCCAAAACATAATACGGACAAGTGGCTAGCTACTTACTAAGCATCATAAAAAAAAAAAATTATATATAAATATTTTTTCATCAATAAAATATTTTACGCAAAGCAAACACTTTGAGTATTCAAATAATTTTTTTGTTATTGAATGGAGAGTTTATAAAAAATAATAATAATAAAACTTTAGAAATAGTCACAAAACCCATAAGTGAGGGAGACTAGTATCATATATATATTTTTAAAACAATAGAAAAACAATCGAGCGAGAATACTTAAGAATCGGTACAAACCTAATGGCGTCTGGAAAAACATGATTTGCCAACAAATCTACATAGTGATTTGCCTTTTGATAAACATGAGTAGTTCGAACTTGACAAGAATGTTGTAGCAATAATCGAATCGATTTAACTAGATGCACATCACCAAAAATGGTACATAGGTGGTTTTGAATTAACTAGATTATAGCTTTAGAATGCGATTCCACCTCTATTTTTTGAATCTCATATCCCAAACAATTTGTAAACTTTAATAAAGTGCTCATAACTCGCTTTGGTAATAAAACAAATTCTTAAATTATAGGTAAATCTTTCAAGCTATGCACCAATAGTATCTCTTCGGACTCTACTAGTAGAAGCACGTCTCTCATGTAATTTAACGAACTATTTTGTAACATCCCGGCCTAAAGGTGTTACCAATAGCCTCACACTTATAGGATGCAAGACTAAGCCCATTGTCATCCGCCTTATGTAATGCATATCGGCATTATTTAGGTTTGAAGTTCAAGATCGTTTTTAGTTTATCAAGTTATAAACCATCAATTTAACAATAAGTAAAATCGTTTCATTAACCTTTCAAACTTACTTATACATTAACATTTATTATTGTTTAGCCTTTAAATTCTAAATCAATATTTATAGTACACATTTGACAATCTTAACTCACTCCGGGTAGCATCATCAACTATCTTTTATATGAAAAATCATTAAAAGCACTAGGCATAGTCCATTCATGTGATTCCCGTAAAGCTCACAAAGAGTATACACTAGATCATTCTCTTTATAAACCATTAAGGATGTGCCGAGAGTGAGTTGAAGTTCCCAAGTGTGTACTATAAATATTTGTTTAGAATTTAAAGGCTAAACAATAGTAAATGTTAATGTATAAACAAGTTTCAAAGGTTAATGAAATGATTTTATTTATGGTTAAATAACATGCTAAACTAAAGAAAACCTCAAACTTCCAACCTAAATAATTTTGTGTATTAGATGGGACAAAGAACAATGAGTTTAGTCTTGCATTCTATGGGTTTGAGGCTGTCAATAAAACCTTTAGGTTGGGAGTGTTACAAATTTATGTTAAGTCTGATCTACTATGATTTCTAAGAGATCATTTTATCCAGTTTAGGTGGTTTAGGATCAACATATTTTGGAGATCCATAGCTGATTCCTTAACTTCCTCCACTCGAGAAAGGATCTCATGCAAGATATTACATGGTAGGGAGAGGTTAGGATAAAAAAAAAAAGCTTATATTTTGCCAATTCCATGAGCTCTAACAGATCATTCAAAAACAAATTGTTCATGAAGAGTTAGAGACATGGACAAGAGTAGAGTTCAAGTTTGCTTTGAGCCAATCCAATAATGGCATAGATGAAAGTTAGGAGAAAAATGAGGGACAAAGATTAATTTTCAATTCTGTTTAGCAAACAGACGATCATGAAGAACATGAATAGTATTTTCTATTGGGTCTGCATGTCTTGAATAAGAGCTGTCAGCTGCCATCTGTTGTTTATAATGCTGGGAGTTCGTAAAAAGTTGATCATGGCCCATTAATCAAAGGAAGGATCGAATCTGTTGGGGTCCCAGCCAACTCCACATACGGCTTTAGATTTTATCATTTGCTATAGCTTTAGTATTAGGAAAGAGAGAGTAGGTTGACTTAGTTGAGAAATGTCCACCAAAAAAAGAACCCAAACAACCTGGTCATATTCCAAAAAAGTATATGGGCATAACATCCAAGCAATTTGGACAAAAATAGATAGAGATCAAAATTGTTGGAACTTGGTCTATGCCCATTGTCCACTTGGAGTTACATGGAAACTTACCAGCTCATATAAAATAGAGGTGGGAACATGCTGAGTTGCAAAGGTAATTAGAGGTGTGTTGTCAATAAACATCTATCAAGCCAAGACCGGGCATTGTTATCATCTTTAATAGATCATGAAAAACCTTGAAGGATGTTCTGCCAATTATGGCTGATATCTTTCCAAATAATAGACCCATTAATGATCTAAGGTCATTGAAAAAATTTTCTGCATTGAAGTTGTATTTGGATCGTAAGATCCTCAAGCAAAGACCATCATGATTCATCAATAACTATCATTTCAGTTTCATCAGCATAACATCATGATTATCTCTGGCTTTCCCGATACCCAAACCCGTATAAGTTTTAATGAGCAAATTTTTTTCCAAATAAATAGATTTGTTTTATGTTCTCCTTGTTGTGATCTTCAAATAAAGTCCAGCTAAATCTGATCAATCTCTTCACAAATTGAAATAAGAAGTCTAGTTATTTGTCTTCTATAAATCCATATAGTGTAGAGAACTAATTGAATAAGTGGCATCCTCTCAACTCAAGAAAGATATTTTTTCTACCACCTAAGCAGACGGTGTTTGACTTGGTCAATAATATGACTATAAGTTTGTTTTTTT